AGCCAAGAAAACCAAATTTTTCAACCAAATTTTTTTTTTATCAGTGTTAAATTTATTGGAAATAACAAGTTTACGGTCAACCAAGTCATTACAATGGCTTCTTTTTTATTTTATGGTAAACGACAATGTTTAATTTTTATTTTATTAATTAATAAGGACAATGGGATGGCTAATAACTTATAGTAAGCTATGCCAGTAGTCATATATGATTTTAATATAACATACAGGTCCATATCAGAACATTTTTTGGGGCACGAAGCGTGTGGATTAATTTTTGGGCCACGGAGAAGACAAGGCGATTCTCTATATAAACTGCGGAGCAGTCTACTTTTTTTGTATATCTGCTCAATAATTCCTCTTCTTTACCAAAACCCAACTTGCTACCATGGAGTTCATTAGCCGGCTGCAGGGCAAAGCATGTGTTTGTTTGGCGTTGATCCTCATCATGTTGGGGGCATGCTCTTCTGAAGCCACTTCTCGTAGTCTCCAAGATGCATCCATGTATGGAAGACACGAGCAATGGATGGCTCGTTATGGGCGCACATATAACGACATTAGGGAGAAGGAGAAACGTTTCAACATATTCAAGGAAAATGTGGCATAGAATCTTCCAATGATGATGCAAACAAACTATACAAACTGAGTGTCAATCAATTTGCAGACCTTACAAATGATGAGTTCAAAGCGTCACGAAATCGATTCAAGGGGCATGAGTGTTCCACAAAGACGACTTCATTCAAATATGAAAATGTAACAGCATCAGTGCCGACTACTATGGACTGGAGAAAGAAAGGAGCCGTGACACCCATCAAGGATCAAGGCCAATGTGGTACGTAATTAAGCTTCTTGCCAATTCTTATTACACTAGAGAAACATTATGTATTCTCCTTTACAACTTTCTTACTGTTATATATATTCTAACTGCTACTAATTGCAATCATGCAAAATTCATGCAAAATATAGGATGTTGTTGGGCCTTTTCAGCGGTGGCAGCAACAGAAGGAATTACTCAGCTTACAACAGGTAAACTCATCTCTTTGTCTGAGCAAGAGCTTGTTGATTGTGACACCAATGGCGAAGACCAAGGCTGTGAGGGTGGTTTAATGGATGATGCCTTTCAGTTCATCCAACAAAATCATGGGCTTAGTACGGAAGCTAACTACCCCTACAGCGGTGTTGACGGTACATGCAACACCAAGAAAGAAGCCAGCATTGCAGCCAAGATAACTGGCTATGAAGACGTGCCTACAAACAGTGAACAAGCCCTTCTCAAGGCTGTTGCTAATCAACCCGTCTCTGTTGCCATTGATGCAAGTGGTTCTGACTTCCAATTCTATTCAAGTGGTGTCTTTACCGGAACATGTGGAACGAGCCTGGACCATGGTGTTACTGCTGTTGGTTACGGAGTCGGTGATGATGGGACTAAGTTTTGGTTGGTGAAGAATTCATGGGGCACAGAATGGGGCGAAGAAGGCTACATAAGAATGCAAAGAGATGTTGATGCAGCAGAAGGACTTTGTGGCATTGCTATGTCTGCCTCTTACCCTACTGCATGATTTATCAATGCCTATTATGGCTTGTATGAAACTAACACTGAATGAAGAACGTCTTCAATTTCATTTTACTTATAGCATAACACAGTTTTTACTATCAAAAGGAGCACGTGATCAAAATGGGATGTAGCAAAATACAATCAAAAGACCGTCTTCGATTGACTTGCTGAGTCACCTGATCTTATGAGAAAAATTGAAAAAGATAAATCAATTTAAAATTAAAAAGTTTAAATAAACAAAAATATATAATGCCCGAATCTCCACAAATCCCTCCCATTCCATAGACTTTATGTGACCTTTTCGTTCTTATAGTGGGAGATATCAAAGTAACAAAAGTAAATGATATCAAAATGTAGTGCCCATTTCCTTAATAATTTGTAGCCATTCGATTGGTTTCTTGTCTAGTATTTGTTGCATTGTAGTGGTGACCTCATTCGATTGTTTTGCTATTCCTCATTTAGTACTTATTCTCAAATTGATTAGCGGGATTCTTCATCTTTTGATCTACAAATCAATTTGATCCATGTTTTCATCTCTCGAAAAACTTTTCGTTAAAACTGGTCATGTTTTATTACATAACCAACTTTAAAATGATATTTCAGCAAAATATAGATCATTCACTTAAGTGAGAATAAAACTCACTTTTTTGTTTAACAACGTCCTCCACATTTGGGTAACATCGAGATAAAATATAACCTTGTTAATCAAAGACGTGAACTTTAACTTTGTGTCATCGGCTGTGCAGCTGTCGTAAATCAACTATATCTAGAGAGTATTGCACGTTATTGAATATTATGTTTAGGCTATTTGTTATCAATATAAGTGGCAACAGCGATAGTATTAATAGTGAGCTTTTATTTAGTACGTACCACAACAGCTACAATTTTTGTTTTTTGTTTCTTTTTTCACATCATCAACAACAGCTACATTTCTTGCCAGCAGTCTTAGTACTTATATATCAAATATATCATAGCATGCATAACATAATGTTATATTTATTTAGGTCTAGTACTAGTAGTGCTGATTGCTCAAGTAGAGGACTTTGTACCAGTACTATTTGACACAATACCAGAACCCGTACCGGAGACTTCACTAGCCTGGCTAAACCCATATCCAGAACCAATCCCATAACCCGAATCAGACACCGATTGCGTGGTACCTCCAGATTCTGATCCAGTAACAGTACTCACAACCGAACCGGCAGCCGATTCAACAGTGGAGACTGCAGCAGTAATGAGTGGTCCAAAACCAGAGCCAGAGCCTTGCCCATAGCCTGACTCCATTTCCTTACTATCCTTATTTGTAGCCATTGGGTTTCTAGTAGTCTTTTACTGGTTGCAGTATATTAATTGGTGACCTAATTTGAGGTGTTGATGCTTTATATAGTGGTCTCAGTGTCTCACTCTTTTCCCTAATGCGGCAAACAACATGATTAGAGAGTATTAGCAAAGCATGAACGTGGATCACGTTGAGAAAAAGTTGAATGCCCCAAATTTCAACAGCCTATACCAACTACGAAATATTTGTGGCCTGATTGATAAAATGTGGCTAAAACTGGGACAAATGGCCAATACTACTAGAGGGATATCTCTTTAGGATAGTGATGCTGGGAGTATTTGTCCCTCCTGCGAAATAGACACTTCGCTTTAATCTCATATCTCTTCACTCATTACCAATTAATTTTGTGCATAATAAATTATCCCTTCTCACATAATGGCAAGAAAATTTATAGATAAGCTCACTCTAAACTTCTTTTAATTCTAACAAACAAGAAAGCATTTGTCTTTCTCTCTCTCTAAACTAAATATTTATCTATCTCTTGACTCGAAATGGGAGCAAGTTTGAAAAGGATCTTAGAGTGTCTAGGGTTGGGCCAGGAGGGTCTCTTAATGCCTTCTTTTTTCTTCTCATCGGAGTTATTTCTAGAACCAACTTTCTATTCACTCGTGGGATCTAGGCGGTCTGGGAGGGACCACCACGGCTCCTCTCTTCTCGAGAATCCATACATCCCTTATCAGTATATGGATAGCTATCTCTCGAGCACAGATTTAGACTAAAGTTGCTTGGGGTTGTGGGGTCAACAAACACGTGCCACCACGCCCGAACAGAGAAAAACGACAGCAAATTATCACAAAAATAATTGGGAGTTTCACTAAAACACCTAAAATAGGGTATGAAATTATAAAAAAACCCGAGCACTATTTAAACATATAAACACACCTAAAACCCATCATTACATACACTCAAAATCCATTTATAAACACACCCAAAAGTTGACTTTGTGGTTGATTTTGGGTGTGTTTCTATGTTTAAATAGTGCTTGAGTTTTTTTATAAATACATGTCTAGGATTGGGTTTATTTATAAATTTGTAAAAATAATTTTTGTTCTATTTTGAATTCTTGATTCTATCTACCTACTCGCTCTCTCTCAATTTTTTTTCTTTTCAAGTAAAAGCATTCCCGTAAGAAGACATATAATTAACTTCATTGCAGCCCACTGATTCGAGTTTATACAGAAACAAAAATGAGATATAGATTGCCTTACTATGTTTTATTGACATTGTCTTGCAAATGCACATACAAGTACATCAACCATCTGAAACCTATTGTCCTTGTTTTTTTTGTTTTTTTTATTTTTTTTTTTATTTTTTATTTTTTAAGTATTTATACATGCACATGTGAGATAGCTTCTGATAGTTATGAATGAAAACAAAAAATTAAACAAATTTTAAGACAAATAGTTGAGTTGTGACCAACAAAATAGACCAAATTAAAACACTAAAATGAGAACTTTTTAATCGTGTGGTTAATGGTTTTTGATTCAAGTGATTTTTGCCGGCATCTTTGATAGAATACCTAAAAGACGGTTCAGATCATTGAACACTATGTGGAATGGGTTCTACAAAAGTGTCTCAAATAAGGTTATTAAAGGAATTCTTTAATTAAAGCTCCCTCTATATTTAGGTATCATAACTTCTGCTCAGAGTCAAGTAAGCAAAGATGAATTTGGCAACATCACTCTCAGAATTTCAAGGAAAACAATATTATGAAAGATAAAGCACCACAGTAGTTAGCCGAAGATGTAGGAATTAATCTACATAACATATATATATATATATATATATGTATATATATATATACAGTCCCCTTCTATTGAGGGATCCCTCAAATAAGCTTATTTGAGGGATCCCTCAAATAAGCTTATTTGAGGGATCCCTCAAATAAGCTTATTTGAGGGATCCCTCAATAGAAGGGGACTGTATATATATATATACAGTCCCCTTCTATTGAGGGATCCCTCAAATAAGCTTATTTGAGGGATCCCTCAAATAAGCTTATTTGAGGGATCCCTCAAATAAGCTTATTTGAGGGATCCCTCAATAGAAGGGGACTGTATATATATATATACATATATATATATATATATATAATTTGAGCAGAGAATATGCCAGACAGAGGTAAATCTATATTTACAAGTTACAACCAGAGCATGAAAACATAACATAATTAACATCATTGCTGAAGTTGGATTAGTTGGAAAGCTATAAAAATAAGTTTCTCATCACCTTAACAAGTAAAATTAGCCCCTTATCTTGTGTCAGTCCTTTTTTTTCCTTACAAATTGTCAGTATTGTTGCATTTGAAGAATTCGCCTACATCGTCCGAGCACCGGTTGGATAATGGAATCACACCTGAAACTGGTATGTTAGAATCAAGAACCATAACGAAAACATGGGATTTTCAAAATGTTGGACCAACGTATAACCTGAGTGTTAAGCAGTATCTACTTTTAACTTTTGGAGCTCATCTTGGGCAAACATGAGCCTACATAAGACAAAACATCTAAGATTACTACCATTTTAAAAAGAACATAATAATTGCACCTGGGATGTGTTAGTGGCTTTTTATACCTCCTATACAACTCAATAATTTCATTAAGTAACTCGGCTTCCCTCTCAAGAGCTGCTTGAGGCTGCAAGCAAAACCAGACAGGCCACTTAAGTAATATAGCAAAATCACCTACGATCTTTCTTAGGAAACAAAAAGATGAAATTTTATTTCAAAAGACTGTACAGTACAGTGAGTGGACAAGTAATCCACCAAGGGTAGAAGAGAAAAGAACATTAATCAAACAACCTACACAGCTAGCTTAAGACCCAAAGTTGATCATGACACTGCAGCTTTCCAATCTAGAATAATATCGGATAGAGCTGTGTTCCTAAAAACAGTAAATACAGAAGCCCAAAGCGCTGTTCAGAACTTGACCTTTTCCTACACCTCCTCCACTTCCATCCACCTAACATCTTCAAAGATCCGCTGGTTCCTTTCTGACCAAATACCCCAACTAATAGCCATAACCAAACAACCCTAATTTAGCCTTTTCCCCACCACTTGACTTCTCCCTCAACAAAGAGAAACAATCTTTTGGCACTACCCAATAAATATTAATCTCATTAAATAAAAAGCACCACAACTTCCACCTGAAAGCGCAAGATAAGAAAACCTGATCCACACTCTTCCCAGATCTCTTGCATAAGATGCACCGATGTGGGCATAAAAAAGATCCCAGCCTACATCTTTGGATTAAATCGCACGTTATCTACCACCAACCAGGCCAAAATCTTTACCTTGGGTGGAACACTGAATTTCCAAATCATGCTAAAAGGAAGAAAAGGAGGACTGCCTGGTATATATGTCAACCTATTTAAGTAGAATCTACAAGAAAGTTGTCCAGAAGGCTCCAGGCACCATCTTCTTGAATCCCCCCAGTATGGGAATAATCTCACCTTCTTCAACAGCCTCAACACTTCACATCTACTCCATTTCATTCATCATTCACTCTGGATATCTCCTAAAACCAAAATCCCAGCTATACTCATCTACTTTTTGTTACCTTATGCCATAGTGCTTCCCTTTCCAGAGGAAATTTCCAAAGCCATTTAGCAAGCAGCACCTCATTCTTAAGTGGTACCCATCCCCCCATCCTCTTTGGCTTTACTCACCAGTTCCCAATTAGCCAAGCAATCGCCTTTTCCTTCCCTTACACCTTCCCACAAGAAGTTGCACATGATGTTCCCAATCCCCTAAGATCTTCTAAGTAAGCTCAAAAAACAGACTAGGATCCAGTGGAGTCTTAAAATCAACTAAATCAAAAGCACAAGATCCTATCTAAGTGAACATGGGAAGCGAACTAATTTCACTTCCATCAATAACTTGGGATGGCAATCGCAGTCTTCTCATAATCACAATGCCTCAATCTGATATACCAGCACCAATATGATAAACTGAATATAGATATGCCACCCAATTACGATCTGAGTGGCATGATGACAATAGATAAACTGAACTCCTCAACAAACATAAATGTTCAGTCTAGGGATAAAAGGGTTCAGATAGACATAAAGGCATTGAGTACTTGTTAAAATAGAAAAGGAAAATAAAATAAAATAAAATAAAATAAAATAAGGATTTACTCCATAACCCTAAACCGAAAACAACCATTGTTATCAGGTTTGGGTGGCATGGGCATGTTCAGCATACCATTAATCATTTCATGTAAAAATAATAAAGAGAACAAAAACTCAATACTTTAGTTAAGCGGTACAGAACTTAAACACTGCAATAAGATTGGTGTATCAACCATGCATGCCAGCTTAATTTTCATGAAGGAAGTAGCATAAAAGTTTATTTTTGGCACTAAAGCTCTCCAAAATTACTATCTTTATCTTACTGTCAATAATTTAGAATACAGCGCTGTCTCCCAGTCCCATAGCAAGCAACATTTTGGAGGCATGAAGCAAATGCCAAGCCAAAGATTTTAAGCTAGCTGTGGTATCTAAGAATGAGAAAACCTACTGAGGGTGAACTTCAGCCATAATTATGGCATCATATTTAGAAATCAACATTTCTCTCATCAAATCTTATGGTCAAAGTTTATTCACCCAATAGCCCCAGCAATGATAACAAAGAAATGGCACTCTATTGAGTGAGACCACAAAAATTGTAAATCCTTACTTCAATGTGCTATCTTCAAAGTAGTTCTCCACATTTATGACATTCAGATTTATTGTAATTTCATCTTTAAAAAGTGAATAAACTTCATAGCATTATCTTTTTTGTTTTACTAAGAGATAATTTCTTGACAGATACCACATAACTATATATGTGTAATTCTGTATTCTACGAATCTGACACAATGTGAGATTTTCAGAGGGAGAGTTGATAAAAGAGCATCAGAATTTGGAGTTGCAAAAATTTTAGCATGGGATAGCACACAAATGAACCCCTTTCTAACATACCATTGGTTTCTCTGTCACATTAGTAGCCTGGGAGGATCCTCCATCAGCTGCACGGTTGGCTGGAGTGAAGGTTTAAAACAGTAAGTTAGGATCATCGAATTCGAATTAAAATATGTTTAAAATGAAAGGGCAATAATTGCTTGAACCTGCGATATCAGCAGCAGTAGCTCGCTTCATTAAACTTAAAATACTCTCCTGTTGAGAAGAAAATGTCGAATAAATATTTATAATACTTATAATGTAAATAAGTCAAACTTATGTGGCTAACACATACCCTTTGAATAATATTTGTCTGCAAAACAGAGTTTAACAATGGGATAAGAGAAAAGCCACAAAGAGCTGATGGGGTAGCATCAGAAGGTGATGCTAGAGGTGATGGTAAGGGTGATGGAAGAGCTGATGGTAGAGGACTTGCAGGACTCATGCTAATCACCTACATAACCGGCAACATTACAGCAAGACATTCAGTAAAAAGTACTAGTATAATCTTCTGCCCTTAGGATATAAATCCACAATTTTATCAGCAAAGATGTTTTGATAGGCATATAGGCCACCTACAATCAACATTGTAGAACTAAGTTTACACCTCACATCTAAAGAATTACTGGTTAGGCCTGGGTCCAAAAAAACAATGCTACTCCAAAACTGAACTGGTATTGCAGATTTATGTCCTAAGAAATGGTGAAATCCAATGACATATGACAACCGTAGTAAACAGTTTTGAAATATACAAGGTTCCTAATAAATAAAGCCATTTTGTTGTTCTTTTTCTTTTTCTTTTTTCTTAAACAAATTTAGTATTATCTCATAGAGGAAAATAAGACTCAGAAAAACCTTCATGAATTCATGAAACCTATGATTAAAAAAAAGCAGTCCAAGGTACCATTTGAATTTTATTTATTTATCTAAAGTGGAATGGTAATATATAATACTTGGCAAAGTAAACCATGAGAGAAATGGGGTCCATATTAAAACAAGCTTCTGCCATTTATTCTTAAACAAAGGTTTTTGGGAGCATTTTCCATCAAACCATTTGAGAATCCTCAACTTTCAAAGGTTAACATTGATGATAAATTAAAGCAATATCTAAAAAGCTGAGTAATCTAGAGCACACCAAGCATTCGTGAACAAAACAGTGCATAAGAACAATTTATCGCTAATGATACTTTTAGAAAGCCTTTTCTTTCCATTTTAACCCAAAGGGATTGATGCAGGATGTGTAGGACCTAAATTAATTAGTTTCCTAATATGTTTGTTAGTTTCCTAGATTCTCTAGTTTTCCAAATTCTAGTAGGATTTCTACTTTTCCAGATTTCCAGATTTCCAGATTTCTAGTTTTAAGTTTCCTATTTTATTTGGGTTAGGATTTCTGTTTAAGCAGGGGATTTTTATCCTATTATGTCTGGGTTTTAGTTTGCTATAAATAACCCCGTGTAGTTCTTTAAAATTCAGATTTGGATATTGAGTAAACCTTCTCTTAAAACTATGTGATTTCTGTCCTTCCTTCTCGGTTCTCTGATTTCAGTCCTTTCTTTTGTCCCTTCGATCCATATTTCGTCTCCTCGACCTCCGATATTCTTCTTGTTCTACTGTTCTGCCTTTTCTTTCATCTTTTCAATCTATATTTTCATCTCGTCAATCTCTTATATTTCTTCTCTGTTCTACTGCTTAAGTGTTTACTCTAAAACCTACGGACTGTTCTACATCAGGGATTTTTGAACGACCAGAAACTTGCATTGAAAGACCGATAGTCCTGAATTTGAATAATGCCCACATCTTGGAGCCACCCCTAATTACCTAATAGACCAACAACCCCAGGGATTATTCAGGCGTTCTCAAAGGATCAGATACCCTTTTTTTCATGGATAAAGAGGTTCAGATCCCTTGAGTAGCAAAAACACTATGAATGATCTTATTTTTGCGTGAGTGCGTGGGTCGCTGTGTGTGTTCTTTCGGGAGGTAGAGAGGAGGGAGAGCTTTCGAACTGTCTCTGTTAGATCTGCTAATACTGTTAAGATCCGCTATTAGTATTAGATGTTTAGGATAATGCATGTCTTATATCTACTAATGCAAATGATCGAAATCATAGACAAGAGGCTGACAGAACTACGAAAACAATATGAATGATCTTATTTTTGTGCGAGTGTGGGGTGCAGAGTGTGTTCTTTCTGGAAGTAGAGAAGAGAGAGAGCATTCGAACTGTCTCTGTTAGATACACTAATACTGTTAAGATCCGCTATTAGTCTTAGATGTTTAGGATAAGGCACGTCTTATATCTACTAATGGAAATGACCGAAATCATAGACAAAAAGCTCAATAGGAATTTTGGCACAATTGTGCTAACCTCAGAACTACGAACCTGCAAGCTGTGACTCTTTTGCAGTATAGGAGCCGGGGCCACCTGAAAAGAAAAGGTTAATTATCCAGTCTTCACATGAAGACAAACAGTAAAGCTGGAATTATCAAACACACCTTCTCTAAGTCAACATTCTCGGATGTGACTTTGAAACGTCCTTTCTGCTGTACAACTGGCACCTTTGCTTTCTCATCAAGTTCATCATTATTTGCTGCATTAAGAATAACTTCATTAATCAAGAAGGCAGAGACTACCTGAGATCAGGAAGAAAAAAGCTTATCTGTATATATATGCATATGTTTGTCTAATGTATATGATAGTTAATTATAATAATTAATAATAATAATACAACAACAATAATACAAATTGTCTTTAAATAATACTTAAATTCCTAAAGCCTTTTGCCTGAAACAGAAGTCAGTCCTTTTTTTTATAAAAAAAAATCTTTCTATAGCATTCCTAAAGCTTTTGCCTCAAATAAGTAAATAGCAACTATCACCCCGAGCTCATTTAGGTTCCCCTCCTCAACAACCCCTTTGTCCCCCAATCACACTTTATGTATCACATTCCGCTTCTTCCTCTCATTTAGCATCCTATGGAACATTCTGGAATTGCTATCTCCCTCTTCTTCCCAAGAAACTTTAGCTTTCTACTCCCAATGAGATCAGATATAGACAACTAAGATGCACCTCATCCACCATGCATCTTCTTCATCCATATCTGACCTAACAGTTGCTAAACAATTACTTAACTAAGGATCTTATTAGAGGATAAGAATTAATTCCAAAAACAAGGAGAAACCACTCAATGAATCCAACGACAGCTATAATATCAGAGCATGCCTGGTGATTTAGATGCTTTAGGAGGAACCTCAGCAAGTGTATCATCTGCTAGTTGTGGAACTACTGCTGCATTGCATTTCAAATTACTTTGGGGCTGACTTGGAAATTTATCACTGGACATTCCACTAATTTAAGTTAACTTTTGCAAAAGAAGAAAATAAAAGGGAAATAACATGGTAAATAGAAAATTCAAAAGTAAGGTTCATCAGCAGTAATCATAACTGAAACACTAAGCAGAAACACAGCATGAAGAATGATTTACTACTGCTAGTTAAACAATAGATATCAGTTTTTATCGATTACAGCTATAGCTATTAACAAAAGGTTTTCATCATATATGCAATTGAAGATTTTATAGTTTTATCTAAAAGGTAAAATTCTTCCTCCATGAAGTATGATTCCATGTACACATTTACTTTTTGGTTAAGGGTTACTTTCTTTTGGTATCCTTGGTAAGCACTTTCTTTTCGTTTTTCTAATTTGTATGCTAAAATAAACATAACTAGAACAGCAGATATCAGAAATCCTGATATTCTATCTACATGCTAACAATTTGATTTTCCTCAAAACCTAAAAACCACTTCACAGGAATCTGGATTCTGGACCTCTCTTAGGGAGAGATCCTTCTAATAAGCACAAAAGAAATGACAACAATTTATTCACGTCGTTAATAGGTTATGAATTTTGGAATACTGACAGAAACGACAGAAACATAAACGCGTCTTTTATCTCTTTAGTTCATTTGAGTTTTTTTGTACTTCCACCATTAGTTTGAGTTTTTTGTGAACAGAATTCCTTGTTACTACCCACTTAAATTTAGTAGAACTATCAAATTCTATCATACATAACTACTGACACACGAAAACAAAGGTATGTAGTTCAACTAGCACTATTCTTGTATGAGCACATACAAGTTGCGAGCTTTCAAATTATAATTTACAGATGGCACGTATGAATGTGGAATTTTACATTCTTCAAGACGCACCCTCATGTGGGATCACCAATTCCACATCGGTTATTGATCTAATTTTTCCTTTTTCTTTTCAATTAAGGGTAGAAGGTAGTTCGGGCTTAGTAAATTGAGCCCAGGATGTCAATACCATGGACTTAGTAAAGACCAAGCAATTCGAACCCAGTCATTCAAGCTGATCACGTGAATGCCATATACTTGGTCAAGATCCAATAATTTGGGCCCAGTCAATAAATAAGCCCACTCTAGCCCGTGTTAAGATTTCAGAGAGACAGACCATTGGCCTACTACTACCAATTGTTCCCAGCAGGTGTGGCGTTACATTATAAAATGCCTCACTGTTATTAGTCAACCTACTTTGTCAAGTTTCCGATGTGGTATTTTGTACATTCTTCAACAAAAAGTTAAGCTACATTTAGACTCTGTATTTTCAAATCTTTACTTAAGGACCATGTGGGCCCAATTTGACCAGGGAACCAGAAAAAGAAAGTCTGGAGCATGGACAACTTATTTTTCTCCGTGGTCATGTCCTGTATGATATGATAATAACAAATTACAAGCTAATAGCTTCAATCGGAAAAATTCTAGTGTTATGAAATGACATACCTCTCTCCTTTAATAAGTGGATCAGTAACTTCTGATAAACCACTGCTGCCTGATGAGCATTGCCTTTTATGCATAGCCGTAGCTTCCAGTTTATCAACATTAGGCTTTTCACCCAAATTGTTTTCAGTACGATCATCATGTCGAGGTGAAGAATTTCGTGAAAGATGTGGTTCATGGCTAGAACTAGCAATGCTAGAATCATCATCGGATTTGTCACTTCTAACTCTAGTATATAAAACGTGTATACAACATTAATAGTCAGTACTGATTAATAGGTACTACAACACATTTATAAAAATTTAAAACTAAAAAAAATATTATTTCCTGTTTTTGGAATCAAGATTCATAAAGATAGAGATATATATTTGCAACACAAATTATAATAGAGACATCTCAGATGACATACTTGGCATCATATAAAGTTGTGTCAATGAGTGGAAGAGTAGCTTGTTGGTTCCGAATCATATCATTGTCTTCCTGTAACACATAAAATTTATGAGTAACCACAGAGAACAACTATTACAGATATGTATGCATGTTATGCATATAAAATGCGAAAATAGTATTAAACTACCATAAATGTCCGACCAAACTAATAAATACCGTGTCTGCAACCGCATCTAAGTTATGACATTGTGATTGCTTTTGTTGTGCATCAAGAGCAGACAGAGAATTGGAAGTCCCCATCGGAATGTTATCAGGTACAGGTTCATCAGCATCCTGGATCTGAAAGAAAAACATATTTTGGACCATTGTTAGAATTTTGAGGAATCATATGAATAAAAATGAAGGTCAAGATGCACATTTACCAGGGAAGCTTGAGCCTTCATATCGTCAAGATTGAAGTTCCAACCACTAATTCCTCTTTTATATTCATTCTGCAATATAAATTTTAAGAAGATAAATAAATAAGCAAGAATCTAAAGATTTTACCAATACCAAGCATCTGAACCCCAGTGATTCTTGTGGACGTTCAAATCAGTAAAATTAGCTCAATATACAGCGAAAATATAACAGCACTCAGGATTTAATAGAGTAAAAGGCCAAAAAGAAACATAAGGAACAAAAAGTAAGATCAACTGGCACCCAAAACCAGTAACTGAAATGTAACACAACAATAAAATTAAAAGCCCATACCTAAATCTCAAAATATTCTGGAAACAAACCAATAGACATCTACTAAAAATCAAAGAAAACAGTAAAACTAGATTACTAGTCATCCCGTCTTGCTGCTGTTTTAATTTTGATTTTGGTAATTGAATGTCAACTTAGCTGCGCATCTCATTTTTTTGAAAAGCATACTTCCTGTCAGTGGGTTCTTTGAAAACAAAAGATTACATTAACATTATTTTTTTGTGAAAAAAAATAATAACAAATTATTTCAGGCAACTCTATAGTTGTTTCTAATTTTAGTTTGACTTCCTCTATATCTGAACAAGACGCAAACTGAATGCCTCATGTTTTGGGAAAAAAACCCCAAACATTGAAAGAAAAAAAATGAATGGAGCTAAGTGGATTTGTCTCTACGAGTAATAGCTGTCAAAGTTATATAAGAATAGAAATGTGTCACAAATGCAAACAGCAGTCGTTAAAGGTAGCGGTTATTGCTATAAAAAAAATATATATATACTGTAGAAATGTTGTTTGCTGAAAAGGAGTAATAAACATAACTCCGTTCAAACTTCAAAATAACCTATTTAACAGCCACAAATTTCCTTTCCCATGGTGTACTTATCTGCTGCAACATAGACCATCATCACTTAAGTGAAACCCCTAGAAAGCATTCAGCCATCTATTGTTCCAGGAATTCTTAATTGCTCAAAATAGTTCATAGTAATACTAAGATGACCGCAATAGCACATCCTTAGTCACACCTTTACATTGGAACTGGCAGGAGAACACTTACTTTACTTAACGAGGCAATGGAACAACAGACCACATTTTCTTTTTCCGAAGTTACCACATCCACATTGTCAGACATCAAATTACGATAAGATTCTCTTAATGCCCAAAATACAATTCTCATCTATTATGAATAAGCTCTTACTTTTTTTTTTTTAAAGATGAATAATAGTCTCATCGATTCTGTTACTGGTTGACCAACTTGAGACAGCTTTTGAGTATGCAAGATTGCCTATAGTAGGTTCGTGGGAACCCATATAAAAGTAAATAAGCATCAAACATAACTAAAAACTCTCACTTCAATAGTATAAAAATGCAACCTACAATTTCCCAGTAAGTCTCCAAGTTAATATGACCTCATATGGTTATGGAAATCCAAATTCCAAGAAAGGAAAAAAGTAGAAGGCTAAAGAATAGACAATGCACTGGAGCACATGTGTATCTGTAACTAAGGGGAGCCATTACTGTTTTGAAAGTTGTAAGTTATCATAAGAAGACTAATTTGAAGAACACTAGTGAACTCTTTGCACAAACTTTGAAGAATGCTAGTGAACTGTTCACACACAAGCAGCATACATAATGCATCTAATGTGCGTTATGAAAGACAATATTTAAAATAAAAAGAGAGGAGGAGACCAAGAATAAGAAGAACGAAAGAAAGAAACACACACACAACATTCATAATGCATCTTATGTATATTATCAAAGACTTTAAAAGAAGAAACAACTTATTTTTATGAGTCGCCCATAATGCATCTTATGGTTTCATTTCAATATTCCATAGAGACAGGAACAAGAGATTTCATTTAGGGTTCAACTCAAGTTAATGAAGGCAGTGATGGTGGTACACTGTGTTACATGAGATGGATATTAAGCGAAAAATTTGATGAGTGCAGCTACTCTTAGTCAATGCTGTACAAAATATCAGATATTTCCTATAAAAAAATATTGACAAATGCCTTGTCATTAATTTGTCCAAAATTCTGTTTATAAAACAATAGTATCTAACCTATGATGACAATCTAATTAGAGATCAATTTAATGTAATTTTTTTACTGCAAACCAATTTAGCACTTTAATAAAATTTTGTTTCTTGTAAACATATACTGCAAAGCATTTTAATCACGGTAAAAAAAAAAAAAAATTAATATGTCATCTAAAGTAATCTTCTTAAAGAGTACTGTCTCAACAAAAGTAAGCAAAAGAAAACAGAATAATCACAGAATTAGTTTTGTTCAACAAAGCATTATCATAATGATTAATGATAGAAGATTCCTGCCTGTGATAGTTCCTCCTTCTGCCCATCTGGCATTTTCTTTTGTGCAAGCATATACTCTTCCTTTCTCTGTCATTCAATAAAGGCATACCTTCAGGTGCATAATGTGCATCACTATAGCATGAAAAATCAATAAGTATCAAATAGTCACATATGATTAAAAACCTTTAATTCCTTGATGCGATCACCAAGAGCAGGCAGCCCCTCGAGAAGTGTTCGTGCAATATAATCATTTGACCGAGCTTGTTTGAAGAAGGAATGCTTCAACAACTTCTTTGCAGAAGGCCGTTTTGAAGGATCCTTTACCAAGCAACTAGCAATCATCTGCTTAAAAGACTGAAGAAAAAGGAAACAAAAAACCATTTCTTGTGACAACTATAATATTGAGAGGAAACTCCAATACAAATTCGTGAGAAATACCTTTGAAAACTTCCTATCCCTTTCATAGTCAAGGCCAGGAGGTGCATTCTGCAATGTCATGAGCAGTACCTAGCAACAGCAGATTTGCATTAGGTTCAATGAACTCGTAATGATCTCCAAGATGTTCATAGAAGGATACAGTATCAATTGACATGCACCTTCATTGGAGGATACTTTGAGAAAGGAGCATGGCCATGGGCAAGCTCCAGTGCAGTTATACCAAAAGACCAGATATCAGCCCTGCACAAATATGTCAAACAAACATTAACTCTATGCTGCCTGATAAAAAAAAATTTAATGAATATAAAACAAGCAAAAAGTTTAAGAAAATAAAAGACTGACTTGAAATCATAACCATGTAACTGCTCCATAACCTCTGGTGCCATCCTACAAGACAAAGATACAAAACCGGTTGATTATACAACACAAAGTATTAAGAAAAATAAGACTGGGGACCGTTCCCAGTTAAGTTTCTTATTTAAACTGTTAAAAATAATCCAAGCTATAAGTGGATTTAATTGATATGTATATACTTTCTCTGGTGAAGTCAGCTAAGGTGCACCAGGGCCTTGATGACCAGCCAAATTATATGGCATGTCAGTATCTTGAGCAGTTAAGTACTAGACAGGAAATCTAATGAAATTTTTAAATGTACAAACTCATAGAGTAGCAGACATAAGCATACCAGCAAGGTGTTCCCACAAATGTGTTTCTCATGCGCTGCCTATCACCTGAATCAAAAAGGCAAGCAGAAACCCCAAAATCTCCGAGCTTGATTGCACCGTGTGAATCAATGAGAATATTCCCAGCCTATCAGAAGCATTTATTAGACAAAGAAAAGAAAAAGGAACTACATGTGCCCAACTGTATTACAATTGCAACAAAACGAAATAAAAGAAACAATGGTTGTCACCAGTAGAAAATACTATATGTGCCAATCCAGATAAATGTAAATCAATATTAATGACTGCAGAGAGCTAATATGCAGAAGGGCAGCAAAAGTTTACTTTGTATCTTTCACATTGAAAAACAAATGTTGGGCAGGCTGCACAAAAGAAATTAAAGTATAGGACATGATAACAAATTATATCATATACCATACAATTCACAGTATCAAATCTATCATGGATGAACTGTTGTTTTGCTTCAGGTAAGTTGTGACGATACAATAGTCCTGTATATCAACGGTATATAAACAAGTTCTCAATGACAGAATTTTATAAATCTTTGAAGAATTCAAATGACAATGTTGTTATAAACAACAAATATAATTGGAAAAAAAAAAAACAAAGAGAGCAACCTTAAGATTTAAGATTTTCTGTAAATACAGTATAAAAGACAGTCTAATGATGGTGTAATTAAAAGAGTTACCATGCAATCAAAAACATTACAAGTTCGAGACAATAAAACAAGGAAACAACTGCTACATTGTCCAACTAGGCATGCGATGCAGCATAAATATATTTGAATGATGCTGAACGATAAAATACTTACTTTCACATCTCGATGAATGTGGCCATGATGGTGAAGATACTCTAAACCTTTCAAAATCTCACGTAATATGGTGGCTATAACAACTTCCTCAAAACCATCTGGGTATGCTGCCTTCAAAATATGAAGACAAGAACCCCCAGACATGAATGGCATGACAACCCACAGATTATGATCACTAACAAAGGAACAGTGAGATTTGAGGACATTAGGATGGTCGACCAGGATCATCGTCTGCGCTTCACGAGAAATGTTGTTCTGTAGAAAGAAATCATATACAACAAAAATGTAAAAAACCCAATATCACCACACACACACACACACACACACACATATATATATATAATCTAAGCAAATACCCAATGTAATTTCCAATGGGGTCATGGGAAATTACCAAAGAAAATCTAAACTAAATGTATGTATTCTCCAAAACTACATGCCACATTAGCTTCTCTAAGTACCAATTGAGAATTAGATGGCTTCAGTAACTGGTGAACAATTCAAATCCCCAAACCAATTGTTGAAGCTGAAACTAGCTGATATAAGCAGTATTTCAAATTATTCTCAACTACATTTACAAGGTGGGCCCATTGCCTTATTAGCATTTACACCGATCTACCAAAGAAAATTTCGAACACAGATCAAAACATCATAAAATCAAATTCCAAGAGTACCAGATCGCAATTGTCGCGTTCGAAATCGAGGATTTTGATGGCGACGATCGCATCCAAGGGCTTACAGAGCGCACGATGTACGGAAGCGCTTACGCCTTGGCCAACCTCCTCATACAGCGTGTAGTGCTCTGGTCCAATCGGATACTTCTTCTTCTCCATCATCAACAACAACGACGACGACAAAAACACGTTCTTTCGCTTTTGGATCAAACGAAATTGCAAATGCAGCAGCAGCAGAAGCTCATTGTGTGGTCCGCAGAGCCAGAAGCAGAGAAGGCGATGAAGAAAGGACCAAATGCAGAGTAGGCATTATCGAGAGCGAGCTTTAATGGCGGTCACATGAGAGACGCAGAGAGAGTGAGGAAAAAGGAAAGGAAAAGATAAAGAACGGCATTGAATGCTAAAACGATGACGACGAAACCAAGTTTGTGGTTTTTTTGGGTGCTGGTGTTGGTGTTGGTGTCAAACGCTTTCTCGTGAAAAAAAAAAAAAAAAAAAGGAAAAAAAGAATTAAAAGCAAAGCTCAGGTTTTTTATTTTTCATAAATTTAATTTGTTCGTTCGGTGATTTTGGGATTTTGGCAAGAAAGAGAAAATGTCGATGAAGTTCGCGAAGGCAGCGGATCGCCGCTAAAAGCTGTGAAGAGAGAGAGAGAGAGAGAGAGAGAGAGAGAGAGAGAGAAACATAGATAAGTTCTTTTTAAAAAAAAATTATATAACTTTGTGTTTTACATATTG